TCGAACTCGAGCTAGCTGTGATGCCCTGATACCAGTACGAGGCCTGCTGGGGATAGCTTCATTTTCAGAGTCTTGATCGAGATTGATACAATTGGGTACAGTCTCAATCTAAAAATGAAGATAAAATACAGATAGAGATTGATTTAATTATCAATGACAAAAGTGAAACAAGTCATAAAAAACAGTGGAGATTAGATGCTTACATGAGTTTTACGGGGCCTTTTGCCTGCCTTGATTGATGACTCTTGAGTTGACTTCCGCTTATTGTTCTTGCAGCACAATGGAAATGGTGAAGCTGGTATGTCGTTCTCGGTCTCAATAGAGGCATTCATTTCGGAAAAGACTGAGCAGGGGAGTCCAGGGGAGACTGGTTCCACTTGAAGTGCCCGTCGAGAGTCACTGGAGACTATTACAAATCTTGGCTGGGTGCAAACGGGGGTCCTAGGTCGAAGAGACCTCCCTGAGGGAGAAAGACATGGGGCTGTTGATGGTGGTGCAAGAGAGATACGAGAGTTTGATCGAATGGTCCGGTCAGAGACTTTTGAGGTGCTCTGACCAGTGTTCGACGAGGTAGATGGCTGCATAAAGATATGGCTAATGATTTGGATTGAAAGGTAATAAAAGTGAAAGAAAGAATTATGATGATGAAATAATTGAAGGACGCTGTTATCAAAATAAAGTTATGAAAAAGAACCAGAGGAAGGAGTCAGCAATTGGTTCGATATTTTATACCTTTTGAAATCTCTGTACTCACCGACTTGATTTCTGATCCCATTCGAAGTTGAATTTGTGGTTTTCATTTGATATAACATTTGTCAACAACTTGTCGGCCTTCTGAATTGTGAGCATGCGTGATGAGGTGGTTGGTGGGGGAGGTGGATTGGGTCCAGGTACGTGTTGAGTTGATTCCAAGTGGAAAGGAAGGTGCTTGACCGGGACGACCGGTTCAAAACAGCCAATGTGTTTAGTCGGAGTGATGTATGTATGTAATTAACATACATGTAGTTGTATTCTGAATACAAATACACCTAGTGGTCACTATGTGTACCGCTGTACGTGTGGACAAGCTATCAAAAAGCTTGAGCGCAGCGAATATACCACTATAGGAATATGGGCTTTTCCAATAGGGCTGCGCAGCCACCCACTAGCAGAAAAGCACATTCTGAGTAGTGCAGTGCCGCATCGCTTCCGCCGCACCACCACTATTTTTTGTGATGCGGTTTTGACCTTGCTTTTGGACATCATCGATTCCATTTGTTATGAGATAAACGAGTCAGAAGACTCGTTCTCACTTTCTAACTCTCATACGCAAGTTCTCTGAACACAAAAAGAGGTGATTTCATTTCTTTGACTCATTTGGCAGCTGAAAACATAAAGATAACATGACTAGAAAGTGCAGCGGGTGATGATTCGAAAAGACTTTAATCATTGCTTTTTGAGCGGAAACAATGTTTCAAAACAAATCAGAGCGGCTTATCGATCGAAATGAGTTTAATTTTTTTTTTCGAGTGGAAACAATCTTTCAACAACAATCAGAATGTGAGCGAGAGACAAAATACATGAGGGAGATGACACTCACCAACATCATATGTCTTCTCCCATAAGACGACAATAGTCTGTAAAAACTTCTCTGCGTAACGAGTCGTCGTTGTCGGCCAAAACCGCGTTAGCTACCGCCGGTGTTTCTTCAGCATGATGTCGCTCGGCTTCACGTTCGACTGCATCAGGAAGACCATAAGAAAATGAAGTTGGATCCTCTTGCAACAAGAAGTTGTGAAGCAGACAACACGCCATCAAAAGGCTGTTTATCCGTTTCATCGAGCGTTTATCTCGTAAAATCAATCTACATTCCTTCAGCATCTGAAATCTTGCTTTGAGCATCCCGTTGACGTGCTCAATTACTGTTCTTGCTTCACTAAGTTCTTTGTTAAATGAATTCTTGAGTCCGGGAAGTTCGCAGGTGGAATTCTTTTTGAAAAGAGGAACCGTGTATTTGGACGCACTGTAGCCGGAGTCTGTGACTAAATACTCACCCTCGCTGAAGTACGAGTGGGGTGACACCAAAGCTATAGGGGCAGTCAGCTTCTATGTGTGGTGTAATGATTTTTAGAGGATTCAAAGAGACAGGACTTACTGAGGAAGTCCTGAGAACTCGCTGGTCATGAACGCTCCCGCACCATCCATGACGGGCAAAAGTGATTTGCCGGCGATGATCACACACTATCATCGAGTTCAGTCCGTAAAAATACTTCCGCGTCCAATAATCTTCTTTACAAAAGACTGGCCCAAAAGCTAAGGGAATCAGTGTCCCATCAACAAAACCCACACACCCCTTCAAAACTGGGTGATCCTGAGCAATCTCGTTCCGGATTTCTGCACGCTCATCTCGGGATGGCCAGCTAAGATACTGAGGCTGTAATCCAAGGATCGCTGCTATACATCGCCAGGTGTAGTTTTCAACACTCCCGTCTACAATTTGTAAAAAAGTCAATAAGAGCAAATAACGATGTTGTTTATGTAAAAGCACGGACCTGAAACACCTAATAAACGGCCTATGATTGAAACCTGTCCGCCGTTTCCCAAGAGACCCATATTTGCTAGAGCGACCAAAAGTTGGACTTCAACCTTTGTTTGAGGATTGCTGGAAGTGTTCCGGAATACTTTGCTATTCTCAATCTTATGATACAGAGTAATGAAGTTGTCCTTTTTCATTCGTGCCTGAACATACCAACAAATCCAATGTTACCAAAGATTGAAAAGAGCATAAAGAAAAGGACACCTTACCACTTTTAAGAATAAGCCCTCTGGAGCGTTCATCAGACCATTGAAAATCTCATAACAATGGTCTCAATCACGGAGAGTTTGTGAAGTCAGATATCGCTGATTTTCAAGCCGTTCCAGTTCCGCCAACCATACTTCAACCTCGCTCTTCTTTGATTCAAAGTCCTGAAGTCGTCGGATCCTTCTACTTTTCAGCATGAGACCCAAAGTTAGATGAGTGGCTGGTGTAATTGGAAGTTCCGGTAGTAACTGAGGCAGGAGGAGCACAGTTGATAACAATCTTGTGGTGCTTGAGGGATGAGTCGCTGATGAAAGAGGAAGTGTGTCATCTGTGGGGTGAGCGAGGAGGTGGTGTGATACCCCTTTCAGAACCTGTAGGACTTGGTGTCTGGCTGAGACTTGCGGCATCTTGAGACGTGAGGCACAGAGTACCTGGAATCGTGGCTCAAGAGGTGCTTTCAAATATTCCCAGAAGTGTCCACAAGTGACATCCAAATTTGAACTTGGAGTGTCCCAGAACTTTCTGGATGACACTTTTGGACACTTTTGGGACACGTTTCTGGAGTTTTGAATACCCCTACTATAAACAATGTGCTCCTGGAGTCAAATCAAAATTGAAGATAAATGTGGCAGTGTATATCCTAGGTATTGTTTGTGTGCCAATAGGAGGTGTGAATATAATTAGAGCTGATGCCTTGGGAGTCAAATGGCTTAGAAAAAATCTAAGGAAGTGGACTCCTTTAATTGATCACAACATCAAGTTTTCTCCACCATCTCTCCAGGTTAGTGTCCATGATATCCCAAATTGTCTTGGCCCAGAGAGCTCTAAATCTTGGACCAGAGAACAACATTGATTCCCAGGATATAGATGGTAAGGGTATGGGCAAACAGCTAATTAAAGGCAACATCAGGATTTGATGCAGCTATCTTCAGTGCTCATTCATGCATCACGGGCACAGGGTCTCAAATCTGTGTCTCAAAATTATTCCAAAATTTGGATTAGGTTGTTGGATTGGGCTAAACTGGGTTGATGACTGGCTTTCCTTACTTCATGTTCAGCTTATGTATGAGTGATTGAGACCCTGTTATAAGTTTTTGAATTTTGCTTGCAGGTGCTGTGTTAGTGTGTTGCTTTATAAAGTTGGCTGGCGGTTAGACTAACCAAGACAGGGACTAGCAGGGGTGCTACATAATACAAAAATGTGTCTGTAATCCAAAAATCCCCACCACAAAAAACTTTGGAAACTAATGCTTCATCGAGGACAAGATTTTTAGCGAGCTTGGTCAAGAGCGATTATGAGAAGTGAATATCATGAATGAATCTCTTCTGTAATGAGGAGTACATCTGAGTACATATCCAGTCTTTGGTTTATGCAGCAGATTGGAATGTACCAAAAATACGAAACAAACCATGGTAACAAACAAGTTCTATAATGAATAGGACGAGAAGTTCGTCAGTTCGTACTCCGAGGCTTCAGCTTCCACAATGGTTATATTGCAATACCTATAATGAATAGGACGAGAAGTTCGTCAGTTCGTACTCCGAGGCTTCAGCTTCCACAATGGTTGAGGGAAGGAAGCTTCTGCCGGAGACGAACGGAAAGACTACAAGTAATACAGCTGTACAAAACACGTGATCTGCTGTGGCGCAGTCGTGTACTCTCAACAAGTTCAACCCATTCTCGTTTCGTTTGAATTTCTTCGTTCATATTGTGATTGGTGAGTGAGAGTGTGATCTTAAAGTAAAGTTTGAAGAGTCAAAAGATCACGTGAACATGTTACATGACGACTGAATCGAATGTACAATTGAGAATTGAATGGATTGATTGATTTTATTTTTGAAATTTCAACTTTAGCACTTTTGGAAAATCAAGGTTACCACCCATCAACACTTAAAATCCATTTAAAACCCAATCGATAAACACATACACATACTTTACATACATAAACCCATACAGAGAGAGTCTAGACTAAAAGCTTACCAAACAAATATCATTCATTCATCTTCATCCAAATCATCAACATCATCAACATCAAAATCTGATTACCACTTTCCTTTCTTTCTTCTTTTCTCTTTTTCTCTTCTTCACTTCATACTTCTTTTATCATGCACAATCGACATCGTTATCCCAATTCAGCAACAGGTCAAAAGGCTCAGGTTAGTTTTTCTTGATCTTTTGCTTCATCTTTCATTTACTAACATTCACTTCCTTTGATAGTTGGTACAAGCCTATCAAGAACTTGGAAAAGAATTAAACTCAACTCAACTCAAAGTAGTTGGTAATTACACCCTTGGCAGGGTCATCGGTGAAGGTTCGTCAGCTTGCTTTCAGACTTTTCCATCTTGGATACCAATTACTTATACCCCCTTTTGCTCACTTTAGGTAGCTTTGGTACTGTCCGTATTGGTATTCATCGACTAACGGGCACCCGAGTAGCTATCAAACACATCCCCAAATCTTCTTCACCTCCTCTTCTTACTCGAGAAATACATCATCACCGAAGACTTCATCATCCTAATGTGGTTCAACTTTACGAGGTCATCGCTACTGAACACTCGATCTGGTTGATCACTGAACTCTGTGCAGGGGGAGAATTGTTTGATTACCTGGTTGAAAAGACTCGCTTCACTGAATCTGAAACTAGGAGAATCTTTGGTCAAATTTGTCTGGGCTTAGGTTATGTTCATCGGGCAGGCGTGGTACATCGTGATTTGAAGCTTGAAAATGTCTTGCTTGATGAGCGTTGTAATCCAAAATTGGCCGATTTTGGCTTTGGGAGAGAATTCGAACAAAGAAAACTATTGGACACCTTTTGTGGTACAACAGGTTATGCAGCACCTGAAATGCTGGCTGGACGCAAATATCTGGGCGAAGGTGGGTTCATTCGCCTCTTCGAATTCGATTTTCGTGTCTTGTTTTATGTATACTGATCTACAGCCTACGACCTTGAATCTGTCCTTTGTCATGCTTAAGAGGTCGACATATGGTCCCTGGGGATCATTTTTTACACGCTGCTTTCTGGTAGCTTGCCATTTGATGACGATGATGAGGACGTGATGAAGTCACTGATCATGGCTGGCAAATTCGACGTCCCTGACTTTCTCAGCAATGGTGAGATGACTAATAGTGTCTTATCGTGACTTCATGCAGACAAACTGACTTCATTCAAATTACCCAGAGGCTCAAGATCTGATTTCCAAGATCCTTCAGCAAGATCCCAAAGCGAGGCCTTCGATCGAGAACATTCTCTCACATCCCTGGTTCACTACTCCTCCCTCTCAGCACACCTTCCCCGCATCTGAATCTACCTCAAGGCCTTCGACCATTGCTGAAGAAGAACAACAGTTGACCACTTCGCCCAAGTCCACATGCTCATCCTCTGCACCCGAAACTCGTCTCGATTCCACAATTTCTCAATCTCCTTCTTATGATCACAGTATCAAGCATCAGTATCAAATCCCTACTGAATCGGACACCTCGGAGTCCAGCTCAAAAGAGAGTGATTTGGGAATCGGTCCTAGTCGAAGTAATACAAGTTCGCCTGTCACGTCAGAGGATATGTCATCT